ACACACGCACGCACACACACACACACACATGCACACAAATCGCACAAAAATGTTGGCCTTCTGGAAAGACAGGCAGTTCGTAGGCAGTACGGTCATTCTCGTATACAAATTCAACACACAAAGAAATGACCTGCATATAGAAAATAGAAAAGAAAAATGACCAAGGAACTACAAGTTACGCTATGATATCCACTAACACCACCATTAACCCAGGCCCACGTGTAAACACCCAGGTCTCCGGGCATACCTCTGCATATGCACATGCGCAAGCGCATGCGCACGCACACACACACACACACATTCATGTACACAAACATAATTGCAGACACTCCAACGCCCCGTCTGTGCGTACAATGACGTACTCACGCACACACTCACAAGCAATCAGCACATGGGAGTTGGAGTTGCCATGACTTCATTTTGATTACTTCAGCAAAGTGATGATAGACCAGTTCCAAGAAAGCAAACGATAATATTTGCGTCATATCATCACATTCGGTCGTCATTAGCATCCCCCCACCTCACAACAGAGCAACCGAGTTTTGCATTAAGCTGGGAGTGCCGATTCGAGCAACTGGTATAATGGCTCGCAGCTGAGCCAGCAAATGACTCCGCTTGGAGCAGGCGAATGACTCCGCATGGAGCCGGCAAATGACTCCGCATGGAGCCGGCAAATGACTCCGCATGGAGCCGGCAAATGACTCCGCATGGAGCAGGCGAATGACTCCGCATGGAGCCGGCAAATGACTCCGCATGGAGCCGGCGAATGACTCCGCATGGAGCCGGCGAATGACTCCGCATGGAGCCGGCAATTGACTCCGCATGGAGCCAGCGAATGACTCCGCATGGAGCCGCCGAATTACTCCGCATGGAGCTGCCAATTACTCCGCATGGAGCCGCCGAATGACTCCGCATGGAGCCGCCAATGCCTCCGCATGGAGCCGCCAATGACTCTGAATAGAGCCGCCAAATGCTAGATATATAGAGATGCATAACCAGTTGAGAGCATATATTCTCATGGACTATACAGATACCGTCATGTGTGCGCCAGAAACATGAGTTGAGCTAGTGGGTGGGAGGGTGGGAAGGAAATTGTTTCGGGAACACCTGTTCCGCAAGTTGCACGCTCGAAAGTCCAAACAGCAATGACATGAAAGAGACATTGTACAGGATATTGAAGGGTGCGTGCCCACGTGACTCGCGCATGCGTGCAGGTTGGGCCAGCTCGCTGGGCTGGCTGCTTACTCGCGTTAGCATGCTAACGCTCATTTAGCATCCCCCCACCTCACAACAGAGCAACCGAGTTTTGCATTAAGCTGGGAGTGCCGATTCGAGCAACTGGTATAATGGCTCGCAGCTGAGCCAGCAAATGACTCCGCTTGGAGCAGGCGAATGACTCCGCATGGAGCCGGCAAATGACTCCGCATGGAGCCGGCAAATGACTCCGCATGGAGCCGGCAAATGACTCCGCATGGAGCAGGCGAATGACTCCGCATGGAGCCGGCAAATGACTCCGCATGGAGCCGGCGAATGACTCCGCATGGAGCCGGCGAATGACTCCGCATGGAGGCGGCAATTGACTCCGCATGGAGCCAGCGAATGACTCCGCATGGAGCCGCCGAATTACTCCGCATGGAGCTGCCAATTACTCCGCATGGAGCCGCCGAATGACTCCGCATGGAGCCGCCAATGCCTCCGCATGGAGCCGCCAATGACTCTGAATAGAGCCGCCAAATGCTAGATATATAGAGATGCATAACCAGTTGAGAGCATATATTCCATAAATCGGCACTCCCAGAGCGGATCACAAAGTGCAGCTACCTGTGATATTTGTAAGCAGTGCAAGCTCGGTAACGATTGACTAACAGGAACTCGATATCATGGGCTGAGGCCATTGCCACAGCCACCCATGCTTTGGCTGCTGGTGGCCTCTGAATGTTACTCGGGCAGACATGGCTTTCCACCTTCCCGCCTCTCTGAATATCGAGTCCGGCAGCTGATTCGAAACGAGTGGCCGGTGTATGACGCCAGGCCATAGCCACAACTGATGAGCAAGATTTTCGCAGTTGCTGCAAAGCCGATCGATTGGCATCTGCTGCTGGTGCCGCTAGCTTTTCCAGGTGCTGCCACAATTGCAAACCACTCTTCGCGATTGGCTGGTCTGCTTGATTGACTGTCCATTGCCCTATCCCCGGTTGCAATTGTTTGCGCACCAGCCAAGTGCACCACTTGCATCAGTGAATAGCAGCAAGTTGGGGGACGGCGTCCACTTAGGGTGTAGGAAGAAGGACCGGCCGTTCTACTATTCCAGGAGCTAAGGCCATCAGCGAAGGTATTTGAGGCACTCTTCGGAGAGCTTGATCAGGTAATACGGCTGCCGGTACCAGTTGGCAAGTGACCACAATCTGCAATGTGCGTCCTGGGACTATCACTCTTGTAGCAAACGAGAGCTTTCCCAAAAGATACTCGAGTTGACATTGGGTAGTTGAAGCTGTGTTGAGAGTGGCCCGTAGGAGGTCGTGAAGCTTGGCAAGTTCGTCCATCGGCAGACTGATGTGAGCGCGCGGGTGTCCAGGATGACGCCGATAAACGTCAGGACGTGGGCTGGACCCTCCACTTTTGCTGACGCCAGAGAAACACCGAGGTATGTAAACGCACGGCGCCGAGTAGCGAGTTGCTGGCGAGCTAACACAGGTCCAGAGCATACATCGAGGAAGCACTTTTGCTGACGCCAGAGAAACACCGAGGTATGTAAACGCACGGCGCCGAGTAGCGAGTTGCTGGCGAGCTAACACAAGTCCAGAGCATGCATGGAGACAGAAACGTTAGTCGAGGTATTTCCCGTAATGGGAAGATGCCAGTAACGTCAGGAATTGAGCTGGACCCTCCACTTTTGCTGGGGCCAGAGAAACACCGAGGTATGTAAACGCTCGGAGCAGAATAGCGAGTTGCTGGCGAGGTAACACAAGTCCAGAGCATGCATTGAGGAAGTAACATTAATTGAGGTATTCCCCGTAATGCAACAGGCGTGGGAGTGCGAACTGCCCGCACACAATCCATTCACTGGCGGATGCGACAGAGTTCCATATAGCTGGCCTGGAGCGTAGTACAGTCTGAAGGGCAGGACGCTCTCATAACAGTATTGATCCTGCCAGCGGTTCAACAAGGGCCACTCCTCCGGGCAGACGGGAATTCGGCAGAATGCACTTTTAACATTGAGCTTAGCAAGATACAGCGGGGCGAGCAATTGTCTAATCATGTTTGCAGCATTGTCATCTTGACATTGTGGAGAGACACGGTCTGCTGGAATGTAATCGTTGACACTTCGACCCTCCAGGCTTTACAAAGGGTGTGTCGTGTGTAACTTCCCGTTCGTCTAGGAACCGCATCTACGCCGGAACAGCACAGAGGCGAGAAAGGGGGTGAAGAACACGGGCCAGCTGTTTCAAGCCTGCTGCAAGAAACGGATCAGCCAGCTGTTTCAAGCCTGCTGCAAGAAACGGATCGTTGCGCAGAAATATAATCTGGGTTAGCATGTGACCGTGTTAAATTCAATGGATCCCAGTTAGTTGAGTGGTTGCCGATGAAACCTACCACAACCCCACAATTACGACCATGTGCAACATACCTCCGGAGCATAGGATCAGGATGTGAGTCCAGTAATTTTGAGAAGTGAGAAACTGAGTGCTTACACAGTTACTGATGAGGCCTTACACTTTGCCCTGGGATGCTCCTGTCGGCACTGGAGGTAGCACTGCCTGAGCTGACGCGTGCAAGCGCCGTACTCGTAGTAGCGGCATACGGTTGCGGTACGGGATGCGGATCTGTACTGGTGAGTAGGACGAAATGCGCACGGAAATGCTGGCGAGTGCACTGAGCTGCACTGCTGGCAGGCGGGTCGTGCTGTTCCAGTACACCGCGAGGCGCAGTTGCCACAAGTTGATATTGATAACCTGGCTTTGGAGATTTATTTTATTTTCCATTGCTATCAGGTTCGGCTTAATTCCCTCTGTGCTGCGCTGATGAGTCCACAAAGGACGAAACAGTTGTCCGCAGATTGAGTATTGATAACGTCCAGTTTCTAGGTGGCAAAAGCTGGCGATTGGCCGCGACGATCGTGGCCAAATACGTCCACAGGCACTCGTGAAACGCGGTGAGGAACAGTGGAACACAGACCATTCATGAACACTGTCCAGGTCTCAACTCAAGTGCTACCGTCATGCAGCCTACGAAGCGCAGTTCTGGGTTCGGATTCAAATAAATGCTAGTGCGCCAGAAGAGCAACATATGAGGGGCTACGGAGTTGGAACGTCGCCGGAGCTGGACTGACTGCAACTGTATCGGGCAGCAGGAAATCGAAGTCCACGAACTCGCCTCTCTGGACGCGATCGAGAAGGGCCCGTATAGGACAGTCAGGTTCACCTGCTGTTGGTGCTGCATGCGCATATGGCGGTCGTCACTGCACCGGGCTCCCAGTAGGGTCCGGCCTGCTGGCGGCGAGCGGCGATACGGATCCAAGTAGAGCGAGGAGAAGCTGGGTGGCGTTGGTGACGGCAGTGGACAACTCCCGTTGTTACTTCCAACAGAAAATCAAAGTCCACGAACTCGCCTCTCTGGATACGAATTACGATCGTCAGGCTCGCGCCTGCTGTTGCAGTGGTGGTGCTGCGTGGCGGCCGTCGCTGCGTTCGCAGTAGGCGAGCGGCGGAGCCAGGTAGAGCGAGGCGATCCGGAGAGGCTGGACGCCGGTTGGTGACGACGACATTGTTTCAAGGCACAAAGTGACAAACAAGGGTCGCTGAGATCGCGTGGAGGTACTTCATTTCAGGAAACCTGATGATGGCGCAAGCTAAAAAACCACAGTCGACGTTCCACTGTAGACGACGACATTGTTTCAGGCACCAACAGGCACCAACAGGCGTCAATGAAGTCTGAATTGAAACGCAGAGATACGAGAATGCAAGCTTGAAAGTCTAACGAAAGGAAAAAAGGAAATTGTTTCGGGAACACCTGTTCCGCAAGTTGCACGCTCGAAAGTCCAAACAGCAATGACATGAAAGAGACATGGGGCTGTTAAGTGTGACGTCACGGCTCCTTCGATACGCATAGCAACGGAGAGCACTGGGGACAAACAAAAGTCGCGTCCTCTGGATGGAACCAGATGTCAAGGGCAACAGCATCTAAATGACTGGAGAGACAGTTGTTTTTCTTTGCTTTTTCTTCAAGCGATTGTTGTCGCTCTTTACTCCTTGTTCTTTCCTCTACAAAAATCCTGTAGTCGTCGAGTGCCTTCATGATGGCTGTGAAATTGGCTGCCCACAGTAAAACTCCGTGTTTGAGAGTGCTTTGAAGATGTTTCGCGTCCTGATGGATCAAAGTATGAGCGCTCCTTGTGGATTCGATTATATATAGGTGAGTTGTTCAAGAAATCAGTGTCTTCTTTCTGTCTCTGCCCTCACGCTGGCACAATATCAGCCTCTATATCCATGACAGCTCGTACCTCCCGTAAACTGCATGACTTAGATATATTTTCGCCCTCCGTGGTGATGGAAGACCCATGGAAGAATTTATTATGTTCAGAATGATGTCCTAAGAATATAAAATAAAATAATTCTAGGGAATTGTCATAGGGTATTTTTGGAAGGATGGAGACAGAGAGAGAGAGAGAGAGAGAGAGAGCACTGTTTGAAGTGTTTGTCTCACTGTAATTACTCCAGATTATTGAATGTTGTATGATCTACTTCAAAAAGAAGTACTCTATATTTTGAATTTTATTTTCCATGTTTTTTCCTGATTTGCGGGATCTCTTCTTTTGCTGTTTGCGTGTTTACAGGAAGTGGCTGTCTGGTGTAACTGCACCAGATCCTGGGGAAATTAAGTCAGATGCAGAGGCAGGGTCGTCCAGTGATGCAACACTGCCGTTCTGTGTGCAACGTTACCGCTAATACCCCCGGCGAAAACACAAAAAAGACAAACACGTGAAAAGACTACAGTATTGACCGTTCTGCTAATAAATGCAGGACTGCTCCGACAGTCGATAATCGAAACACAGAGCACCAGCATGATGTTTTCATATTGGGAACCACACAACAGCTCAATTCTCAAGCCCAAAAATTGATGAATACAAATACAGAGCGACGCAACAAGAGGTCATCCGGTAACCAAACAAACCTGGGTCTAATGCACTGAATAGTCCTGAAATACGCAGGCCAGACAAAGCAGTGCAAGCACATAATGTTACAAGGTACATGCATTGCAGAACAAAGTGTAACCAAAAATACACAGGGTTATAGCTGCACATTTGTGCATGTGCTCGCTCAGCCCAAGAACACACGATCATGATGATAGAAACAATCCGGGGGAAACACGCTAACACCGAAGTAAGCGTCAACACGTAAATAGTGCAGCTCTGAAAAAATTACATTGACATGAACATTGGTGTGTCGAGTAGTATCAGGCTTGAATAATCATCCAACCAAGACTTCATCAGGTCCCAGACGCTGAGATCGCACGCCGAATGTGAAGTGCATCTAGCCTTGAACCTGTCGCACAAGGCACACATATATGGCAAAATGACATCCACTCTGATTATTTCCAGAGGCCAATCATGACAGAACACAGAAATGAAACCACGGGCTCAACAAAGTAAACGCAAAGGAAGTTAGTCAAAATAATCCATGCAGTGCTCTTTTAATTGCAGCGCTGATTGCAGTGTTGCGTCATAGCCCGATACCCGCTGAGCACAGACACAACTCCATTCGTCAGGGGCAAGACATACTCTTTTGGAATAAAGTCATAAAGTACAGCGTTCCAATGACATTACGGACACCTCGTGTAAATGCATGGTCTGTTCATCTGGCCGACTCGGCCACGCATGAGAGTGTGTGCATGTACATGCGCGCGCTTGCGCGCGCGCGCACACACACACCATGTATTCGGTGCGTATGGTGTACCAGTTGTGGGACAATGAAGATGGAATCATTATCATGATGTTACATGTACACAAGAGTACATAACCCCCCAGAGTGTGCAACGCCTGATCCAGCTCTGCATAGGGTCTTGGTCGAGCGGAATCGGATCTTTGCGTCATAATATCGTACACATCTGAGGGGAACCCGGGTACTCTTGGATCAAAAACAATGGTGCCCTGCCTCGAGACCGGCCTTGCGCTGGTGTGGAGTGTACGCATGACATCAGAAGATCCGATTCCGCTCGACCAAGACCCTATGCAGAGCTGGATCGGCGTTGCACACTCTGGGGGTTATGTACTCTTGATGTACATCTACAGTGTATGTTTGAGTGTAAAGTAAATTTTATTTTATTGGACATTTCTTCGACACAACTAATTACTTACTTCACATGTTCGCATTTCTCATAATCGATCCACCTGCACTCCGTATCAGTCGAGGAGAAATTCTCCCAGATATACACTAGTCACCACAGCCATGTGATGACATTGGGATGGGCCCCAAGCAGTTCACGATTGCACTCTCTAGTTACAATAAATTTGGCCAGATTATCTGTGAAGACAAAATGCAATGCATAGCGCCAATCGATGGATGAAGAGAGAGTTTGTAATACCCATATCTTTCCACTTGTTCAGGAGCTTACCTTTTGGAGTTCACATCGTTTACACGATCTCTCATGCTGTCTTGCACCTTGGTTTTGTTGACCATGGATACGCCAACCCAGAAAACATTCTACAGGAGCTACTAATGCAGAGCGTTTTTCACGCTCGATCTCGGCGATCTACCTTGTCACGCCAATAAAATCCTCCATGACACTGGCTACAGTCACAAGAGACGTCTCAGTAAGGTAATGAGCACGACAACATCGTCGAGATCAAGGACAAAGAGAAAACAAAACACTCACTGAAAACAGCAAAGAAGAAACGAAGAAATGTACACGATTCCTATATGTTGCCACTGACAACTGGGTCGGTGGGGACGACGCTACTTTTGTTTGTCCCCAGTGGGATCGTTGCTATGCGTATCGAAGGAACTGTGACGTCATCACTTAACAGCCCCATTGTACAGGATATTGAAGGGCGCGTGCCCACGTGACTCGCGCATGCGTGCAGGTTGGGCCAGCTCGCTGGGCTGGCTGCTAACTCGCGTTAGCATGCTAACGCTCATGTAATTCGCACTGCCCACCGGGGGCAGACGCACGAATGGCCCACCACCACATATTGTATGTGTGTGGTGTGACGCCTCATGCCAGGCAGTTGTGTGAGTTCTTGGCGTCGGTGGTCGTTTGTTTGCCCTCAATGGGCAGTATGAGGTCCGCCCTAGCGGGCAGTATGCATTTGCCCTTGGTGGGCAGGTTGTCGGCCTCGGTGGCTGTTCGTTTGCTCAATAGGCAGTATGATTGAGCCCTCGGTGGGCAGTATATAATCGGCCCACGGTGGGCAGCATTCTTTGACCCTCGGTGGGTACAACGCTTTATCCTTTGGCGGGAAGTTTGCTGTAGCCCTCGGGGGCAGGCTATTGGCCTTGACGGCCGTTGTGCACCCTCGGTTGAGCGGTATGCTTTAGCCTTCAGTAGGCAGGTTTCTGGCCTCGGCGGCCGTTCGTGCGCCCTCGGTTCGGCTATACGCTTATTCTTGCGGTCGGGCTATAATCATGCGCTCTCGGTCGGGCTATAACCATGCGCTCTCGATCGGGCTATAATCATGCGCCCTCGGTTGGGCTATACGCTTCTTCGCGCCCTCAGTTGGGCTGTATGCTTTAACCTTCGATACGTAAGCTGTTGGCCCGGGCGGCCGTTCATGCGTCCGCAGCGGGCAGGATTCTGGCCATGTCGGCCATTTGTGCGCCCTCGATGGGCAGTATGCTAACGGTCCACGGCGGGCAGGATTACTTAGCCCTCAGTGGCTTGGCTGTTGACCTCTCTAGCCGCTCGTGTCACCGGCCCACGGTGGGCAGCTGCAGGCTAGCCCTCGGTGGCCAAGAACTCACACAACTGCCTGGCATGAGGCGTCACACCACACACATACAATATGATGGTGGGCCGTTCGTGCGTCTGCCCCCGGTGGGCAGTGTGAATTACTGACGACCGATTTTGATGATATGACGCAAATATTATCGTTTGCTTTCTTGGAACTGGTCTATCATCACATACTATTATAATTATTAATTTTTTTTAATCAAAATGAAGTCATGGCAACCCCAAACCTATGTGTTGATTGCTTGTGAGTGTGTGCGTGAGTACGTCATTGTACGCACAGACGGGACGTAGGAGGGTCTGCAATTATGTTTATGCACATGAATGTTTGTGTGTGTGTGTGTGTGTGTGTGTGTGTGTGTGTGCGTGTGTGTGTGTGTGTGTGTGTGTGTGTGTGTGTGCGTGTGCATGCCATTGCGCCTGTGCGTATGCAGAGGTATGCCCGCAGACCTGCGTGTGTACCCGTGGGCCTGGTTTAAAAGCTAAAACTGCATTTTGACACATCAAGAAATCAACTGCAAAGGAACGCTCCTTCACATGCCGACAATTCAAGAGCTTGAAGAAGACACGTCTTCCGATATGACACCATAACACTAACAGGATGTCTGTAAAATTTTGCCAGCTTGTAAATCGTGCAGGGACAGTAACGACCAGCTGAGGTGGACGGCGTTTTGCTGCAGACTTTATGGTACTGGTGAAGTACACACATCTGTAGATTGAGAGTCTGGCTAGGGTGACTAGTGTAGTGTCTGTCTGATCATCATTATTCATCAACAAACAGGTGTACCCGTATTTCATACACTGATCAACACTGTACATCTACTACTGTACAACACATACCTGGGAATATGCTGATGTTGTGCAACGTCTTCCTGCAATCAATCCGAGATGAACTCCAGGACAGTAGAGATGTTATACCGTAGCATGGAATTGTACAATGGAGGTCGAAGCTTGTCCATAGAGCATGGGTTCCTGTACAAGTGTACACCCTCCATCCTCATGATGCCTGATGACTGCAGCATAGCTTGAATGCCATCATCGGTGATCTTGCCGTACTCGAGGCTGATCAATCTCAAGCTTGTGTTCTTCCTCATCATATCCACCAGGGCATGCACTGTGGCATCACCAATCTTCTCGCTCTCCATATCCATCCATTCAATACGTGTATTGTGATGGAGAGAGTGTAGGATACTTGTACCTACTTCATCACTCATACCCGTCTTGGCAAATGAAATGAAGCGCAGCTGGTGGAATCCGGAGAGAAGCTGGCATAGCAGTCTGCAATCAGCATGACTGGGCTGTATATCATGAAACACTGGGTTGTCCTCCAGATTCAATGCACTGACATGTGACTGTGGTGATGTCACTGCTTGTAGCACACTCACAACACCAGATAGCTGTATCCTATTGCTGCCCAGACGAAGGTATTTCAGCACTGTGTTGTCTGCAAGGCCAGATGTTGCCAGAGCAGTTGCTCCAGCATCGGTGATGTTACACAGTGCTATGTCCAGTTGGTCTAGGTCAGTGTTGGTTGCAAGGTGCTGACCAAGTGATGACATCATGGAGTCATCAACCTGACCAAGTAGGCGACCACCATGTACACTGACTAGATAATCAATTGACTGAGTCTGTACTGAAGTACCAGTAGCATAGCGGCTGCCAATGTCGATTACGTCACCACCACATTGATTAGACGTAGCCACTTCCTGTAGAAGACGGATTGTTACACCAGTGCCGTTCAGATAAACCCTGCATGGTGGTAATGTTGTGCTGACACTCCCAGTGTGCTCACGACTGCGACGAGCTTGCAGAAAGGCAACCGCACTAGCAGCTAGCTCATCAGTCAGTCTGTTGTTGTGAAAGAAGAGATGCTGTATGGTATCATGAGAATGGAGACTGGATAGTACACATGACACGTCACTGTTGGAGATTGAGTTCATATCCAGCCATAGATTGTAAAGGTGTGGTAACTGTGTGACCAGTGTTGCCAGGTCAGATCCACATCCACTATTCAGGCTGCACCTTGCCAGTGATAGTTTCATGATATGATTACATGGAGCCAAGTTGCTCACAAATGCTGCCAGACCATCATTGCCAAGTACTGTATAGTGTGCATTCAGGTGCGTTAGACTTGGATGTTTTACACATCCAGCAAGTGCTGCTCCATCTGCAGATCCACTGGTCAACTTTGTGTTGCTAATGTCAAGAACCTGGAGGGTACGCCGTGTTGATCTAGACAGTGTGCTTGATATGCTTGCCAATGGTGCTGCAGTGAGATTGGCACCACACAAAGTCACCTTGACGCATTTATCCAGTTGGTCAGACAGCAAAATGACACTGTCACCTGACAGATTACAATGGCTGAGATCCAGAGACTTTACATGGTCCACAAGCTCCAAAACCGTATGTAAGGCCATCACATCAACAACTTCAAGGTGGATTCCCCTAACATCAATTCCATCACCTGCCAGGAGATTACCTGACATAGCATAGCAGCGATGGATGATTGCGTCTACATCCTGATTGGGGTTTCCATTGCGGTTATGTTGGAGTGAAATGTGGCTTTCCATCAAACATCTCATCATGAACAGAAGCATCTTCTTCTTGCTCTTGAAAGAGTAATCACTGATGCTGTTTTCAGACTTCAGAGCCAACAAAGATGAATGTAGAAGGTCTGGCTTCAGTGCTCCAAAGACAAATTGCCAAAAGACAAGTGTGTTCAAGTCTGTGCCGACAGTGTTGATGCAGCTGCGGATGATATCTACGCATGAGTCAGAAGAAATGATGCATCTCGATGCACACCACTCCTGCAGTGTCAAGTGAGTCAAGGACACAGTCTGCGTGGAACCGACCGCCGACGGATGCACACCAGGGTTGAGCAGTAAGCCGAGATCTTGACAAATGGACTGGTGGAGGGTTGACAGCGTGGATGTAAAAGTAGCCATGCCCCTTTGATATGTTGCAAGACACATCGTGTAGAGATTGTGCAATGCCTTGACTAGCTCCACAGCATGGTGATCACACTCCTCATCATTGTTGCTTGTCTCCTTCACATAGCGCTCCAAATGATGTTCTATTACCACGGGGATACTGGCAAGATCACCACAACTGAAGTGCCGGCCACCACTGCAGTGACTGATGACGTCATGTGCAAGCCGTACTTGACCAAACTTCCCTTCTCGCCGCTTTTCCAGCTTTGCGACTGAGGAGCGTAAGTAGTGGTCATAGAAAAGTGTCACACTGGAGGGTAGAGAGTTGTTGATGGGATATTGCTGAACGAGCAGAGCACATAGGAGTGGAGATTGTTGAATGGCTTCCTTCAGCAGACAGTTGTTCCATTGGGAAAGCTCTTCCATACACTTCTTGGCAACCTCCTCTCCGAGCTGTCGTGAGCAGTACGCAAAGAGCTGGTCTGCCGAGAAGCCGAGGAGTCGGAAACGTAAACGGAAATGCTGTATGTGCTGATACGCCTTATCACACGGTCGGCTAGTTGCAATTACAATAGCATCAGGTAGTAGTGAATAGTTACTGCTGCTGCTCCTCAATATTACAGCTTGGGCTGCTGATCCTTTGCCAAACCCACCACTGCCAAGTTCGTCGATGCCATCCATAACAATCAATACCTGGTCGGAATGCTCAGAGAGGTAATTGAGCAGTATATACTGCTCCTGTGTACTGATGCGCAACTGGTCCAAACCAAGAAATACACACCAATCAGTTGACTGCATACGTTTCAAATCACGGCATGGCACGTAGAAAATGAATTCAATCTTTGCCAGATTCCCAGTCGTTGTCTCCATGATGTCGGCAATGACTCGTTTGCTCAGTGTTGTCTTTCCCTGCCCAGCGTTGCCAATTACAATGCAACTTTCCAGAATGTCTGTGTCAACTGTGTCATCACCACCACCAACACCAACACCACTTTTGCCACTGCTTGTTACACCTTCATAATAATGGGGATCAGACAAGAGCTGCTTAGCGCTGGACAGAACAAACTGCCTTCCTCCTTCCACTTTGTCACTCTTATCTTGTCTAGCTCCTGGGATAGCAACGCCTGGTGTACGGTCAGATATTGGCTGTCTTCCAGTGACACGGCGAGTTGCAGCTTGTTGCGCACGATACGTCAGCTGCAGAGCATCTTTCTCCGTCAGAGCCTGCATGGGCACGAAGCAATCCTTGACATCGCCGGACAAGCAAGTTAGATCTGAATGATCAGCGGTGGTCTTGCACAGATGTGTATTCACTCTGTGTAGATGTTGTTTAAGACGTTGAATGTGCCCACCATTGTCTGCTCCATCATCATTCACTAACAGTATATTACATGTCACTGTGCCATCGTTAGCTGTGTTGCTGCCTGCACGCATAGTAGCAACATCAACTGTGGTGAAACACAGGACAGGAAAGAGGAAAAAGAACAAATTGTTTGATGGTATATCATTGTACAGATGTACTGTGATGATATGTTGACAAGTATATTCCTAAATGTAGATAGTGTGTGAGTGTTTGTGTATGTGTGTGTGTGTGTGTGTGTGTGTGTGTGTGTGTGTGTGTGTGTGTGTGTGTGTGTGTGTGTGTGTGTGTGTGTGTGAACTACTGATTGTACCGTACATATACATACACACATGGTTAAAGCGGGATTCACAGAAGCTTTTTTGCAATGCGACACGCAATGCGACAGCTGCGAAACCGGGAAATCCTCAAATCGCAGCCATCTCGCAGCCCATTCAACTGCCGCAACTGGGTCATTGCAGAAGTTGAGCTTGGGTCAACTTTGGCGATGCGACAAGCGATTTGGCATACGATTTTGACCTTTTCTACAGCAAAGTTGTACAAAGGTTCAAGAGTTGCCTATAAATTTGTACAAGTTGTACCAAACTGCGCGATTACCATGGTGACGTACCCAACTGCATTGAACTTCGCGCCAAATCAGCAAGGCATCGTCGCATCGCTGACTTCTTTTGTGACTGGTATTTCGCGAGTTCGCATCGCACGCGTCCATCGCAGATCGAGTCGCATCGCGTATCGCATCGCAAAAAAGCTTCTGTGAATCTTGCTTAAGAACTGCACAGGAGGTGAAGTAGAAAAGAAACAAAACACATGAAAAATGTGGATTGCCGCTTCGTGTTGCTTTTCATTGGATAATGGTTTTAAAGTTTGTCAGTATGACTGGTTGACACTCCACAGCTGCATTTCACAAAGTCAACACACAATACACAGGGCAGGGCTTTTCGGCAAATGCAACTGTTCTCCATGTTCTGTGTGGAGCGTTGTCGTGCTCAGGCATGCACTGCCGAAAATGTAGCAAAGCTGCTAGATTCTGGTTTGGTGGGAGGTGCGAAATGCATCTAGGATTCTCGTTATAGATCAAGGTTGAAATTTTATCGTGAACGTCTTATTTTGTATTGTGTTTCGGCATGTGGGTCTGGGTGGGCGTCCGATCATGGTGAACCACGGTCTGCCTGGTGGGGGGGGGGCTGGAGGGGTGGAGGGATCATGCGCTTATTTGTATCGGTTTGCCTTTGTGGGTGTTGTGGTTTCTGGGTGTTGATGGTGGTCACATGTGCGTCACAGTAGGTGTCTGACGGTTTTGGTTTTTTGCTTTGCAAGCGGATGTACTAAATGTTTCCGGTGTTATTATGGTGTTATCCCTGTGGTTGTCAGGGTGGAGACCTGGGGCTATTCAGGGTAGCGCTGTGTGATTTTTTCTTTAATGTCTTTTTGCGTATTGGTAACCGATTTGTTTGTGTGGTATCTGGTGTCTTCACTGATTAATCGCTCCTGTTTCTGTAGACGTGTTCTTCCTTGCTATTATTCCATTCCTGTCTTCTTCACATTTTTGGGCTTCAATTTATTTGCTTTCATCCTCAGGAGAGGATGTCTTTTTTCGGTGGGGGATAGTGTTGTACATGCTGCTAAATCGTGGTACACGCTGCTGCGCTTTTGCAACAGGTGTACTCACATGCATTACAGCACACACTTCTCGCACTGGTCCCCATTGGGACAGCATTGTATCGCTGACCCGTGCACCTTTTGTGCTGATGAGCGCACCACTTTTGCCCTGATGAGTGCACCACTTTCCTGGATAATATTCACTTGTCAGTTGTCATACGTCAGTTGCCCAGACGTCTCCTTAGAGAAAGAACAAAGTATTCTCTCCAACTAAACAGCTGGCCTTCTGTTGTGTATCGCGGCCGCAAGAGGGGTATAGTTCACTTTTAGCTAGACGACTCTTTGGTGTAATGAGTTTAAATCTGCTGGTAAGGTACAAAACTTAAATTGCCCTTGGCAGAAGTTTGGTTGGTGGCAATGTATAAATTGGGCATGTTCAGACTGTTAATGATACATCCACAACCCTGAAACCCTCCCCATTCTACACATATCAATTACCTGTCTCGGAAGAGGATGTCTTGGCCGTTGGTCGCTGGTCAACGGGCAACAGGAGAAGCATTTCTTGGTACTTTTCATTGTACAATGGACCCAAGTCATGGATTGCATTGCAGAGTAGTTTATAAGCAAATGTGCCTCCAGGACGAATAAGACTGATGATGTGAGAATTATGCTTTTCCTTTCCTTCGTACTTCTCCAGACGCAGCAATGTCTCAATTTCCGTTATACTTATGAACACGCATTTGCCCTGCACAGCATGTCGAAACCTCGTTGTATCAATTTCACAGATCCAGGGTAGGATATTAGCAATGAACTTGGGATCACCAAATGGTTCATCTAAAGAATACGAAAAGACAAAAAACCAAATATACAGGAATGTCTAACTAATCGAAACAGCATTGACAGATAATCATTAGTAATTTTGAGACAGTATCCTGGACAACCAATCACCATGACAACTGGGTCATGTTTGGACACATCAACATCATGTAGCCTCCTGCACCCCCCCCCCCCCCCGCCCTTCCTTAGCACAGTCAAGCTCCACTGATGTGGAGCTACCTCCCCGTAAAACTGTACTTTAAGCAGGGAGAAGGTGTTTTCTTGCAGGTTTACATAGTGAACCATTTGATGGATTTCTTGTATACGGACGGCAGTCACAATCAGTCAAATGACAAGTCAAGTCGGCAGGAAAACAGCGGCTCAAAGGTTGTAAGCAACAAACATTCCATAATGGGTTTGGTTCTCTACAAGGTATCTGCTTTCTATAGCAAGTCTGTTGTCTATAGGAGTTTTGTTTCTTGTTTGTTCTTGTAATCACATGTAACCAAAGGCTTGTTGCTAAGATACTGCACATTCAATTATGGTGGACTGCTGGTCTGACTTACTGTTAGACATTTTGAAGTACTTTCAGGACGATGATAAACTGGTTATTGTAGCACGGTTCATACACTCTTCACTGCAGTCATGGTCTGTGTAGTTTTCTGCATACACACAGACACACACAGACACACACACACACAAACACACACAGACACACACACAGACAGATACACACACACACACACACACACACACACACACACACACACACACACACACACTATCCTTTGACCTTTGAGCTTTTGACGCCCATCGCAGGAGGCGATGATGGCAATGCTACAGCAGAAGCCATAGCAACTTGTGCTGGAATTGCACCATTCAACAGCTTGCAAGGCTGAAGAATTGACCGCCACTATTCAGCCTGGTCTACACCACACAGCTATGAAGGGGCTTTTCTGGCCAGTGACTCCCTACGTTTGGTCTTTTTCATATTTTTCTGCACACACATCACACCACATACTCTGGCATGCACTGGCTGTTGGTAACCACCCAGGAGAATGAAAGACAAGTCGGGAGGAGTCTGAGAAAGAGAAGAAAGACGCGTGCGACCATAATCGCCGGGAATCGAACCCGCAACCTCTCGATTGGAAATCACACACACACACACACACACACACACACACACACACACACACACACACACACACACACACACACACACACACACACACACACACACACACATACACACACACACACACACACCTCACCTCAGACATGCCCATCGCTAAAGCGACTATAGCGAACAGCTATGTAACATTGTTGGACATAGCAACTTGTACTGGGATTACACCATTCAACAGCTTGCAAGACTGATGAAATAATCGCCACTATAGTGCGTTTCAAAAGTCCGGACCGCTGGTTTCAAAAAACCGTTAGGCCAGCATCTATACCACATAAAATCTGTGATCACTTTGTGCATAAATTTTTCGAAATTGGGCGTCTGTTATCCAATCGCTTAGAAATTTACATGAGAAAAATTGCGTGAGCTGCCTGAGCAATATTTCAAAGAAATTTCTCAAAAAGCTCAAACCAAATTTGAATTATTCGAAAAAGCCTAGAGGTCTATACTTTTGAAACGCACTATAATTGACCGCCACTAATTTTTAGCCTGGTATCCACCACACAGCTGATTGAAATGTTGGTTTGCGTTGCGCAAACCGTAGTTAACCAGCACGCCACGGGCCGCGCCCCCCGCACGGGAATATTCCCGCTAGATGAATTTAGGTGACCTTACGCACTCCGCCGTGCCGCCGCAGCCGACTTGCGCAAGCACGCACTCTTGCGGAGTTCCGCATTCGAGTCGCATTCGCGTACGACATCCCGCACGAGCCACCCTTCGTCTGGCGGATGCATCCGTAGACGGCTCATCTACTGCTGGCTGGTGAATTTTTTGCCAGTTGTCTGTTTTGCTGTGAGAGCTCGCCACGCGATTTTGTTTCCCACCCTCCCACACCTACCGGACAGAGGGGAGACACGGGCTCGGCCGATGGGCACGAAATTCGCATGGTGCACATCCATCGGCTGCCGCAGACAATACATTTAATATACTTGTGGATACTACCGAGTACTTAGTGGTCATGCAGTTGCCATAGCAATGTACTGGTACACCCAGCCTTTATGATTGTTACATGACCCCATGGGTCATCTTTCAAACGCTCTTTCATAGCCGACACACGGCGTTATTTGTTCCTATCATACTATGTTTCAGATGGGCGGCCTTAGAAGGCCCAGTCCGATCATTTCACGCGAACTATGTTATACGTCATCATGATCACTATAATCATGTCGCGCTCACGTTCAATATAAGCTTGCGGCAGCCCAGTGGCTCATCTCTTCTGTAGTGTGAGGGTTAAGTGGCTTTTTCTGGCCAGGGAATCCCTATTTTTCATTATTATTATTTTTTACACACACAAGCCACACCACATACTCCGACATACACTGGCTGTTGGTAACCACCCAGGAGGATGAAAGAAGAGCTAGGAGAATGAGAAAGAGAAGAAAGATGTGTGCGACCATAATCTTCGGGAATTGAAACGGCAACCTCTCGATTGGAAATCGACTGCACATACCACTGCACCATATGGGACACACACACACACACACACACACACACACACACACACACACACACACACACACACACACACACACACACACTTGTACTTGTTGCTCACTGCCAAAACTGGTCACGTGGGTCTCCCCGGGAGAGGGGAGAGAGACTGAAAAGGAATCTTGGAAAGATGACTCAATTGGCCATTGAACCGCCCAACGGCCGACACCCCCTGAAATCCCCAAAACTCTGGGTGGACTTGAAAATGATCCCACTTATGGGCTCACCACACCTCAGTAAGTGGGTGAGGACAAGGTGCAGAAAAGGATTGACGGCATCAGGGTATCCGTCCCGGGATCCAACTGCAGTTACCCTTGCCCCCAGTGAAGGTAATACTTGCTACTAGTGTGGGTGGCTAAATCAGAGTGGATCTGATACAAGCTTCACTAACAGTTAGCACCATGATTACACAAGAGTTAATCTAGCCAGAAGTAGTCCATGGTTAACAGGTATACTTCAAATAGAAAGTGTATGAACCCTGAAACCAACAAAGGTGGTAGGTACAACATTACACCTTCAAGCAGCCGAGCCCGTTGGCAACAGACCCAATACTATCCTGCACAAGTTCCCAGGAATACAGAAGCTAGCAATGGTAGTCATGGCTCCGCAATACAACTCACCGCTATGGAGATGAAAGCAGCTGCTAGGCGTTGAACAGCTGGATTATGTGATTACCAGAAACTCAGCTTGACTAGTCATCCAGGTCACTCATACATTCAATAGTTGACAGTGCCTCATTCACTGCAGTGATCAGTTCCTTCCTTGCTACGATGTCGCAACCTTTACATCTGCCGGTACAGTGTGTAAGGTGCACACGTTTGTTGTGGTGTCTGAAAGAAGGAAATTTGAGAATAGAAGTCAGGTTTTAAAGTACTGATAATATTCAGAAGAGAATGTATCATGAATCATGGATGAGCAGCCTATGCTCATTCTTAGTCACTAACTACACTGTAATGGCTTTACATGTGTCTTCACTTAACACTCTACTATACTGATACAGGTTATCAACTTACACACAGTGTATAGTAGTAGACACGGGCGTATGCCAATGCTCCACTGCAACACCGATAACTAACTGCACAAGAGGTCGCCCTCCTGGCGAGCCTGAGCTCCTCGCAGCTCAATAGCAACAGCGAGCCGGAATCCACAAATTCCCATGGCACAGCTAGTGGGCAGGGGGCTGCAACACCGCCAATCCCGCCAGCTGACCAACGACTCAGACTCGGTGAGCTGAGCCCCGAGGACACAGAGCAGATCATATCTGCAGCGTACGAGGAAATCGCACACTTCCGGCCTAACCTGTTCTCCATCCCATCGGGTGCACATGGCAGGTCAGTGGTGGACTTGAGCGCTCGCTACCTCAACACGTTCTGAACAAACGCAGCGGGAGAAGGCATAGCCTTGAAGGCAATTATGGTCTGCCACAGTTTTCTACTGCAACAACCGGTCAACTGCTTGACACGCAAGGTGCATGTGGAATGTCTGAACCGACGAATGCAGCTGTGGAACGAGGGAAACATCGATGAACTTGTCCGGGAGGCACGTACCATCCAACGCCAACTAACCAAGGAACGTGGCGGGAAACGGGTCCAAAGTCCAGATGATGCGCGAAGTTTCGCTTCCCTCATCACAAATGGTGAACTGGGTGCAGATTTCCAGTCCCTGACAGCAACGCCTTTGGGTGGGCTGCTAAATCTGGACTCCCCCACTGATGGTAAAACCGTGAGGCAAACGCTGAAAGAGAAGCACCTGCCGGCGGAACCCATGCATGCAGATGCCCTCATCATCGGCCCCTGCCCCGAACTGCCGCACCCGGTGCTGTTCGAAGCTCTGAACAGAGACATCATTCGGGAATCGGTGCTACGGACAAATGGAGCAGCGGGCCCATCCGCCATGGGCTCTACCAGCTGGAAACGTTTGTGCATCTCGTTTGGAGCGTCCTCGGACCAGATTTGTGATAGCATCGCCGCCTGCGCTAAGCGCATCGCCACCGGAATCGTCAACTTAATCTCCCTCAAGCCATTCACAGCATGCCACTTGGTGCCTCTGGATAAGAAGTCCGGGCTGCGGCCAATTGGCATATGTGAAATCCTCAGAAGGATAGTAGGCAAAGCCATCCTCACCATCATCGGAGGGCAGATCCAACAGGCGGTCGGGTCGCTTCAGCTGTGTGGCGGCCAAGAATGTGGAGTGGAAGCAGCAATACACGCAATGCGGCACATGTGGAACGAGGAAGAGACCGAAGCAGTCCTCCTGGCAGACGCAAGCAATGCGTTCAACAGGCTGAACCGCAGTGTGTTCTTGCACAACATCCGTCACCTCTGTCCGGCCATCGCGGGTGCCGTCACCAACACCTACCGGCATCCCGCACGGTTGTTCGTCGATAGGGACTGTCTTCTTTCTGAGGAGGGCACCACCCAGGGAGACCCGATGGCAATGCCCATGCATGCCATTGAGCTCCTCCCACTCATGCAGAAGGCGGCAAGCAGCTCAGCCGACAAGAAGC